AGAAAGTCTCCCTGGGCCTTCTCTTCTCCACACTAAACCCCCCAGGTCCCTCAGCCCTTCCTCATCACACTTGTGCTCCAGGCCCTGCACCAGCTCTGATGCCCTTCTCTGGCCCTGCTCCAGCACCTCAATGTTTCTCTTGTAGTGGGAGTCCAGAACTGAACACAGTTACCAAGAAGGGGAAACTGGGGAACTGGGGGTGCCCTGGATCAGGGGATGCCCCAGTGTGGGGCCCAGGGAGCCCCAAGGCAGGTTGGATGGAGCCATTTCCCTGTCCTGTTCTGGAGCAAGAACAGTTTCCGCTCCCATCTCCTCATCCTCCTCCCCCTGGTCTTCCAGCACCATTCCCAGGCACGTGGCCTGTCCCCACTGTGTCCCCAGGTCTCCCTCTCTCTGGGTCACCTGAGGACAGTGGGCACAGCTGGGGGCTGCATGGTGGGCAATTGCTGTGTACTCCGGGCCTCTCGCCATGTCCCACAGTGATGAGGGGCCCAGGGTGGGTCCTAGGGAAGCCCATGGATGGGACAGGGCAGTCTGAGTGTCTCTGCACCGGGCAATGGCACTGCCACCCCCCAGGGCCCCAGGACATGGGACAGTGTCACTGGGAGCCAGCGGTGCCCATGGGACACTACAGGGACACCAGCATAATTGTCACCAACAAACCAGGGTCACACCAGGTCATGGCACAATGCTGGGGGTGGCAGGGGGGTGTGGGTGACACTGGGGTGACACCATGGACAGGGTGGCACTAGGGTGACACAGAGCAATCACTGGAGTGGTACCAGGGATACAGTGGGCAAGGATGGCACTGGGATGGCACTGGGATGGCACCAGGAATGGGGTGGGCAGGAAGTGATACCAGGGCCAGGTAGGCAATTGGTGGCCCTAGAATTGGGGTGGCACTAGGGCTAAAGGGGCACTGGGGGCCAAAGTGGTTGGGGTGGCACCGGTGCCAGGGTGGTGCTGGGTGCCACCAGCACTCCTGTGCCCGGGGGCTGTGATGGGGAGGGCATGTGGGCAGGACAGGAAACGAGGGGACAAGGGACGGGCAGGACAGGGGATGGGCAGGGCAGGGCAGGGGACGGGCAGGGCAGGGACAGGCGGGTGGCACTTACTCTGCTGTAT